GGAGAACGGTCAAAAATTCTCATAAACACTCCTAAACCTGCAGAAAGCCTTCCCAGAAGAGTTAAAGCTGTTCTAGCTGTAAAGGGTGGGACAAGATCATATTAAACCCCAGGAAAAGGGATGTCACTCAATGTATTTTACACTACATCCTGTACTCTCGTCCAATGAGAGAACTCCATCCATCAAAAATGAATAAATAAATAAATAAACTAGTGTTGTCAGCGTTAATCTCGTTAAAATGACGTTAACGCCGCATTAACACGGCAAATCTCCGTTAGCGAGTTAACGCAGATCGCCCCATGCTTATGGCTGCACGGTGTTAACGCATTAACGAGCTAACCGTGCTAATGCGTTGACGTCATTTTAACGAGATTAACGCTGGCAGCATTAAAATAAAAGACTAGAGGTACATTTTTTAAAATCTGAAAGTAGGAAGCAACACCTCTATGAGTCGTTAGAAGCTTACTAATAAGTGCATTAAAAATAGAGAGAGAAAGCAGACCAAGCATGTCTGAAAAATGAAGGTTATGCTATACTCCAGCTGCATTGCACAACACTGTTTATTGAGGTTACTCATCATGATAACTGAAACAAACAGAGATAGAATGGTTCAATAATAGAAGGAGGAAAAAACTCCCGGGGAGAGAATTAAGCAGATCAATTTGGGCTTCAGCATCAAACTTGATGGATCCACACCCAGACCTGAAACTCCAGCAAACTCGGTGCATTCGTGTCAGTTGCTGATGAATGGCTCCTAATTTATCTTTTGCCTCCATTTCATTACTCCTCTGCAGTCAGTGTGGCAGTCTCTTGTTCTTTTTCTGTCTGTGATCACAGCAGAAGACAATGAAAGGGAAGGAAAAAACATAAACGTGACCCGTTGATCACCCAGGTCCTGCCACATCATCAAGGAAAGCAGCATGTGCTCCCTTTTACTTTACTTTCCTACGTTACCTTGGCGACACAATTTGGAGGAAGGTGGGTGGGGAGGTGGCACTGAAGGTCGAACCAGACACCTTCCCATTGGATGAGGGTAATTGTCTCATCAACAAGACCAGCCTAATAGTTAGTCTTGTCTCCTGTCTTTCCCTCCCACTTCTCTCTTTACTGAGTGCAAATAAATGGAACCAGCAGGAAGTTGATGCTCTGGGAAACTGAAATGTAAACAAGTCATGTAAAAGGGATGTAACTGAAATAAATAGCTAAATAAAACAAGTTGAGTGGAAGCCTAGTTGGAGTTTTAGATCAGGTTAGAAGAAAAATCAATACTTTTGAACTTTTTTTTTGCCTTTAGATGAATAATTTGGCTTTGGAAAAATGCAAGAAATAAACCGAATGACCACCTCCACTTCATACTTCACTCTAATATTGGTCAGGTTATTCATACAGTGGGAACAGACTTCAAGCATTTTACAGAGTGGCAAATTTACATTGTCATTTTATAAAGTTGATTCATTCTGACAGTTATCTGATTATGTGCTGCTGCTTTTCCCTCCCATTTCATCTGAAATCAAACCATATCCAATCCTTGTCTGTCGAAGCGTCTCTCTGTGGGGCAAATTCATTTTTTCCTATTAATGTTTTTTTCATGTTTGCACTGCTGAACACTTTTTTTGGCTTTCTTTAATATCTGCAGCAAAATGTTGACAACCATACATATCCCCTGGCAGTTGATGCCACCCAAAATTTCAGACTATTTCACTAATGAGGTGGCCAAAAATATCACTTCAAAATGATGATGTGGTGCTTTATAACTGTTGGATTTAGTAATGATCGATGCCAAAATTTGCCTCAACAACCTTAAAAGGTTGTCAAGGTTGTTTTTAAAGAATGGTTCTGCTTCCTCTGAGTGACTGTAAAGGACTTTACAGTCATGTGGAAAAGTATGCCTGCTTTTATTTCTGAGGTTTTATGTACTATAATCAGGGGTCGGCAACCCTAGGCACACGTGCCACAGTTTTGCCAGGAGGCCAGGTAGGGCATTAACAGGGAAAAGTCTTTTTTTTTCTTCTTTACATGGCTGTAAACTCTGCAATATATATATATATATATATATATATATATATATATATACACACACACACACACACACACACACACATACCCACACGTGTACATACATAATGGTGTTTTTATAAAGTGACTTTCAAAAATAAAGCTATCTTTATATTATTACTATTCTTGTATACAGCCTCTGCCGAGTTCGAATCTCAACAGACACTATCTCTACTTTTAAGATTAGGCTTAAAACTTTCCTTTTTGCTAAAGCATATAGTTAGGGCTGGACCAGGTGACCCTGAATCCTCCCTTAGTTATGCTGCAATAGACGTAGGCTGCCGGGGATTCCCATGATGCATTGAGTTTTTCCTTTCCAGTCACCTTTCTCACTCTCTGCATTGAATCATATCTGTTATTAACCTCTGTCTCTCTTCCACAGCATGTCTTTATCCTGTCTTCCTTCTCTCACCCCAACCGGTCGCAGCAGATGGCCGCCCCTCCCTGAGCCTGGTTCTGCCGGAGGTTTCTTCCTGTTAAAAGGGAGTTTTTCCTTCCCACTGTTGCCAAAGTGCTTGCTCATAGGGGGTCATATGATTGTTGGGTTTTTCTCTGTATCTATTATTGTACAATCTACTGTACAATATAAAGCGCCTTGAGGCGACTGCTGTTGTGATTTGGCGCTATATAAATAAAATTGAATTGAATTGTGTCGATCTTCAGTTTGTTGTTGGTGTGGACGCCCAGGTGCTTCCACCAACCACTCTTCCACCATGTCAACATCCTGTCCCAAAGTCAAGTACCACCTCTGATCTTCACATTCAGAAGCCCATGATTTCTTCCCCCAAATCATCCAGATGTGCTCGGTGTTCCTCCTCCCGCCCATCATTTACACACCCAACCGTTAGCTGTGCAGAATAGGAACGTTTCTGTTGTGTGTACACATGTATAGGGCTTAAGTAGATTTTAAACTGGGTAAAACTGCAAATTTCAATAAGTGTTTAAAATACTGTTTTGGAGTGTGAGAGACTCAGTCAACAGCTACTTCAAGTTATTGCTGCTAAAGCTACTGAATCATAGGGTGCACTTAATTCTTGACACAATGCTTCTGTATTTTCATTCAGTTTTTATTAAATAAATAATGACACAGTGTAATATGTTATCTATTTTTCTGTATTTAGACAAATTTGGAACCAGATGATTTTGAATCACGTTGCGATATGTAAAACCTAATATGTGACAGTAGGTTTAGAATATTTAAGAAGTAAACACAAATGAAAGTAATTAATGCATCTTTTTCTGATTCCTGCTGGAGTGACTGCAATTTGATAAAGGTCACAAAAACTACCCTACAGCCATAGAAGCTGTCTCATAGAAGCTGGGAACTGTTATTTGTTTTGAAGCTGGAAAAAGCTGTCTGGAGATGAACCATGTTGTGTGTGTGTGTGTGTGTGTGTGTGTGTGTGTGTGTGTGTGTGTGTGTGTGTGTGTGTGTGTGTGTACATGCATGAGAGCCGAGTGTGTGTGTGAGAGAATGTAGGACATAAAACCCAGGAGGGAAAGACTTGTCATCCAGACAGAATAAATGACATCAGCTTTTGGCTTCCGGTGAGTTGGCAGTCTGTGTCCGTACCCCCATCCCTCCCTCCCTTCCTTCCATTCACCCAGCATCGCTCAGGAGTAGCCAATTACATCTGGGGGTGTCACCATAGCAACGCATGGCAGCAATACGAGGAGACATGAGTCATCACTTTTCTTAAAAGCCATTCAGAGAAGAGTGGAGAGGGAGACAAGGAGAGAGGTAAATAGGATGAGGTTAGAAGGCAAGAGAAGAAAAAGAAAAGGAAAAATAAGGTAGAGAGGGAAAAGAAGTCCACTCTCTTGTTTTTTTGTGAGCACTAATGGCAGGAAGAAAATAAGATAATAAAGCATAAAAAATGAAACAGGTGGTCGGTGAGAGAAAACGTGAGGATAGAAAGGGGAGACAAGAAGTAGAGGAGAAAACCAGGAGAGGAAAGGCAGAAGAAAAGGGAAGAAAGAAGTGATGAGAGGAAACAAGGAGAGGAAGCAAGCAGGAGACAGGAGGAAACAAGTGGGTAAAGATCGGTAAAATGATTAATATGATTCATATGATTAATATGCGACCCCTATTTAATAAGGCACTATAGTAGCTAATAACATTTAAAATGTGGTGTTTACTGACCGTATCAGGAGAGGTCCAGAGGGCTAATATTACAAATAATATACATATATCAATTTGGAAAAAAAAAATGCTTTGGAAACTCCAAAATGTGTCCTGTTTGAGCTCAAGTTGTCCGTTTTACAGAGAACTTCAAGATGTCATTAAAACTAGAAAAAAAAGGAGCAAGCCTAATGTGGTCAGCACACCAGCAAACCATATCTTGGGGCCACAGAAACTCAAAACATTTGTAGATTCTGGGCCAGCATGGTAAAGGTGACGTAGAAGTGTATTCTTTCTCATGTCCAGCAGGGGGCGACCTCTCTGGTTTCAAAAAGCTGCCTGCTTGTACAGTTTTACAGGGAAATAATTCTTCACCCATGTTTGTGTTCTCAAACATGATGAATTTCACAATCAGTAGCTGACATGCAGTCACTGGCCACTTCATTTGTTCAAATGCTTAACTGTTAATGCAAATAGCTAATCACCTGATCACATGGCATCGACTCAATCCACTTAGCATGCAGCCATGGTCAACACAAGCGGTTGAAGCTCTGATATTGCAAGAGAAGACAAAACTGGACAATAGACTGGGAAAAAAATATGAGTCTTGAAATGGATAAAAGGACAAAATGAGACATAGGAGGGAGAGAAAAAGACTGAAGAAGAGCAGAGACAGATGAGCACAGGAGGTTGGCCAGTTTGTTTATGCAGCACTAACAGACTTGTGTCTGGACTGTGCTCAATAAAACATCACTCTCACACCATCTATTGCAGCAGGTGTGACAACATGATTTGTTGTGCTTGATAACACACTAAACAACACTTTCAGTCTTTATTTTCTCTTTTTATTATTGCCCCTCTCCTTTCCCCGATGTCACAGCCTGACCTGAACCACAGAAGACAGGGCATCACAGACATCTTACACCTTTAAACCTCGTTAAACAGAGCGCGCACACACACGCACCTCTCTTTGGCTGACATTAAATAACCACATAAATACACAACTACACCAACATCAACTCACAATTACGATAAAAACAGGTTATTAGCCTTCAAAAATCAAAAATCTAGAACTCTTTTACAAGATGGCTAAAATTCAGAAATTCATTCAACAGCAGAAGTTTCAAGTTTCGAAGGTCAGGGTTTTTTTTCAATTGAACCGCTTTGTAATGAAAAGAGGGACTCCCCCCCTGCTGTTTATACTTTGTTAAAGCTGACAATGCCGACTGACCACAATGCCCACAATCAGATTCAGCTTTTCATTTTGTTTACAGGCTTTTGTCAAAGTAATAACATATATTTTGGAATTTCAATTAACTGTAATTATTTTCTGAATTGAAAGTGAACTGACCGTCCAACAGTTCAGTCACAAACTGATGAACCAGTTGCAACCTTTGGATTATACTGCTTTACCTGAGCATGATTAATGAGATGAGAAACAGTCATTTGACATTAAAAACACATCTCAATATATGGTGACAGACTGCAGACACAACTATACTACTGACTTAATCAAGTGGCTTATCCCTGTAACTCTAAAACATCTCAGTAAAAGAATACAGCAGGTTCCTAACATTTGGATTTAATATCACATTATTATCTGAAGGCACATTTACAGATGCGTCTTTGTTCCTACTTAACAGCTGAAGAACACAGAGCTAAACAGCTTGATCAGGCTGGCATGAGTGAAAAATTATAAAATATACTACTCTTTTTTTGTTTAATGCATGAAGTAAAACAAATCATGTGAGCAATAATTTATCAGGCACACTGCAAACTTGCATCTCTGCAGATGCTTTGTATGTTACATTAGAGAGTATTTGGGCTGTGGTTGCTTTGGTTACAGTGTTACAAGCTTTACATGATGGTTTTCAGTCTGCGGGAGACCTGATTTTGTAATCCAGACGTTTGATGTGTGAAACAGATATAGGAACATTTTGACATTTTTGGTTAAATTACCCTTCCTTCTTTTCTTGCAACAGGATAGACTTCAGTCATAACAGGCTTAGAGACGGGTCGGCGACAACTAGGGAAAAATATGTATCCAAAATCCAGTTGGCGATTGGTTGGTGGCTGTTGCAGATCCCATCTGTTGTCTGCACACCTGTCAACAAACAGTCACCAAGCAGCAGTGAAACTGTGAAAAGTGCGAAGGAAACCAGACTCGATTTTCACACCTCTTAGATTCAAACTTGTCCGACATTTTTAGTAGATGAACCTCTGGTATCAGTTTGAGCATCCTGTTTGGTTTTGAGTTATTGACGGAGGTGTTTACAGACAGACTGGCATCTTCCATGCAAACTACACGTGACTGTGGCAAATCTGATAAAAAGGAATCATGAGGACGTTTTACGTCAGTGCTCACTAACTGGTCTCCAAGTCTGTATGACTGAAGCCTTAAATAACATGATTAACTCTCAAATCCAGCAGGTAGTTCAGCCTTTTTAAGGAATGGAAACAGCTAACAGTGGCCTTGTCTAAGGTAAAACTGCTTGAAAAACTAACACTTAATGTTCAATTTACCTATTATTAAAAAAAGAAAAAAGATAAAACATAGAATTTATAAAAAGAAAAGACTACTACTGTTCTGCCATCTTTAAAACAGGCTGTTTCCCCATTCCCAGTCTATTTGCCAAGCTGAGCTAACAGCTAGATATGAGAGCAGTATTGATAATGTAATTCTTGGTTAGAAAGCAGGCGTGCTGATCTTTGGATGAAATCCACCACAGACTTAAAGTCCGTGACGCATTTGAACCTGAAATGTCGGCAGTTCAGGTGAGAAAAACAGACTGCTGATGTGTGAGGGGGAAAAACCATCTCCAGAGCAAATAGCAAGCACTGCTCTGATCCAAATTAAACTAAAGGCACAAATGGTCTGAATGTTGGCACAATGGACGGTTCAGGAAAGTGTGAGTGATCTGAGGAGGTGGATCGAGGCGATGAGAGGTCCCACGTATTTTTCTTTATTTCCTCTTTATGGAGAAGAGCAGGCGTGGTGAGGATAGTGCAGTCAGTGGTGGTGCAGCGGGGGTGCAGCAGGAGAATCGCTGTGCACAGTTTGTTTGATCATATCGCGTCTGACATCGTGAATATGAGCAGAAGGCTGAATAACAGCGCAGGAAGTGAAGTCGTTACACCGTGGCCTCCGATTCCCAGAGGTCCTTGTGGTTCTCCAAACAGACGACCTACTCACTGAAGCTGAAGTTCAGACCAGAAGACTCTGTAATCGGGGATGAGGGGCCCGCACTGGATACAGCACTGGAGGGGATGCTGCCATCTGAACAGAAAACACACACACAAGCTCTCTGTAAACACTTGTTTTCCCCCACTGGTACAAACTGTCGATGTTTTAAAAAGTCCATCCATGACGCAACTAATAATCCCATTACTTTCCACCCCGGAGCCCTGGCTTCACTCTGCGAGTCAGGAGCCATGTTATTTGCTGTTGTACATGCGTCACGGGGAAGGACACAAAGTGAACACAAATGAGAGAGGGAGCTGGCACAATAACAGGAAAGCATCATCTGCTCGTCTCTTCATCTCGTTGCCATGGGGAACTTTATGTAAACTGTTACTTTATGTGCTGGGTTTCATAAATTGAGCCACATGAATGTTTATATCAATAATCTGACTAGAATGTAATGAAGATTTGCCGTCAATCACAAATCAGCAAAATCAAGAATAAGGGTTTAAAGTGTTTTACACTAAAGATAGAAGCTGCGGTTAAAAAATGTTCCTGAACAGGTCACAGGGCTGCACTTGTAAACAGCTGCCCTGTAACTACAGCTGATAAGAGAACAGAGTTACACGAGCAGCAGAAGAAGTGCCTCCCCGTCTGTCTGCACACTGTGTGGTAAATGAGGCTAAATGAGTTCTGTGCAGTTACAGGCACCAGAATCTGGAGCAGCCACCCAAACCGAGTGCACACGTATAACATGTGCATGAATTCAGCTCACCATCTGAGGGAGAAAGGAGAACAATGAGCTGGTTAAAGATGAAGGGGCTGTGATTTTCAGAGTACTTTTTACTTCAGTTTTAAGTGACGGTTGATGCCGCGGTGTAATCTGCTGCACAGTCTGCTGTTATTTATATACTTATAAACAACAACCACACATTTTTTTGTTCTAGTTTCTTTATTTGGATATTTTGTTGCTGTTTTTTAAATTCATAAGTGTGCTATTGTTTACTAGGTCATAAATTGGTTGTTTTTTCCCCCCGTTTTTTGTTTTTTAAAGTTTTAATAAGATATCGAGGGATTAAAAAAGAAAAAAAAAAAAGACAACAAATTGCCAAAAATTGCAGTTCCTCCTTCGGCTACTTGAGTCTGTAAATCAGTGTGCTTAGACTCCTGTGTTTTGGTCTCTATAATAATTTTCAGAGCGGCTGTATGGTGGGTGAAAATCTGCATTTCGAAGCATTTCAGTGATATTATATGACAAATATGTGGATTGTTTTGTAGTTAAAACTGGAGCAGACTGGGACAGTCTGTCAGTGTAACTGAGTGAAACTGTGCATTTTTTCCCCTACACACTAATTAGCAGTTCATCTGTGTCTGTGCGATATATCCATGCAGTACCCTGCTAACCAAGCTGGCTGCTTTTGGCTGATTTGTCTTGAAACTCCCCCGTCTCATCCACATATGAACGCTTCACAAAAGCATGGCTGACATCTCGATGGCTACATCCACCCCCCCCTGCACAGTCTATGATATTTGTGAATGTGATAAAGTGCTGAGTTTCACCTCTCCAACCTGAGATTCCATCTTCACTGTGGTAACTAGAACCAATTTAGCTGAGCTGCCATTAGCCATTTGCTGATTTATCAGCATTTCTAACAGCCAATAAAAAACAATTTAGAAGAAGAAGAGACGGGACAAACACCCTTCAGCACCAGACAACAAACAGTGAAACCAAGCAGAGCTGGACAGGGTGTAAACATGTACAGAAAAAAACTACACATGACGCACTTTAGGGGAAACCTGTTTGTTTCGTGTGTCTGAAAGAAGAAAAAAGAATCATTATATCAGTTGAGCTGTAGCAGTAACCACAGTATTGAAGCATTTAAATCTGTGTGAAACTGTAGTGACGCCACTGAGTTGTTGCGGTCTGTGTTGTCATTTAGACTTTTACACGATAGTAAGGAGGGTAAATATTTAAACATGAAGCCGATACGTTTAAAGAGGTTTCATTCTCTTGAAAAACACTTTGTGCAGTGAAAGCAGGTCAACACACTGATAATGCCATGAAAATCATTGCACTTACGCCACAAAGGCTGGCCAGGCGGTCGAAGAGATGCTTCAGATCCAGAGGAGGAAAGAGGCTGCTGCGGGCTATAGAGAGAAATCTGGCTCTGAGAGGCAAACAAGCCAGAGAGCGCTGGAGCAGAGAGAGAAAAGAAAACACATTAGGATCAGTTTACAAATGTAATTGAAGCTCATTATGCTACTGAGAAATACTGCTCTCTTCTGCTTTTGGATTCAGAAAGTGTTGTTTTGTTGCTAGACGTGGAAATGGCTTTGAAATTTAACTGCCGACTCTCAGGCTTTATTTAAATGTCTTTATATGAATTAACAGATTAAAAACCAGTGAACTGTGGCCATTTATATTCATGCTCAAGATCTGACGATCAGATTCTATAAAACAAAAATTACACTGAAGCTTTCGCACCTTTCATGGTTTTGGCCTGGACCTCACTGTTGCTCTCACACACCGAGTTGAGAAACTCGTCCACCTGCTTCAGGGAAAGTGAGTTGTGCAGCGTCTCCAGCGGGTAGATGGAAGGCACCATGGAGCATCCTTCAAAGCCTGCAGGACAAAGGGTACAATACAGCCGATCGTGTACTAGCAGGAAGAGCGGAGAGGAAAGTACTGCTCTCTGTGCATTACGGTTCCACGTGATTTGAGTGCCATATTAAGAAAAAAAAAAAAAAAATCTAGCAGTGATTTATATTTGTTACCAGCCACACAAACGTTTGCACACAAGAGCTACAGTCGGCAGCGTGTGACCTCTCACAGCAGCTGACTGGCTGTAGCTACACAACACAAGCAAGCCAGATATAATGCAAACACAAATAACCAATTCCTGAGTTAGTGAGACCACAAGAACAAAAATAATATTTTTGTCTTGTTTCTAACATGGTTACAGAGCACTCTGCTTAAAATGACAAGAAAACACACTCGTTACATGTTGCTGCTGATACATGAAGTGATTATAGTAGAGCTCACTTGTGTGTTAACAGGATATGATATGCTTGTTGATTTAAAGATAAGAAAAAATACAGTTCTGTGTTTGTATATGTAATAAGTAGGTGAGGACTACAGAGATTCTTGTGTTTACGATGTCAGTACTCGAGGTCAACTTCATTTCTAAGCTGATGCTGTAAATGGTATTTCCTTCAGGTGAAGTGTGTGATATAAAGCAAAAATTTATATTAGCTACAGACGAGGTTCTGAAACCACAAAGAAGAAAATAAAATTCTGGGGAGATGTGGCATAACATTATGAGCATTGCCAGGTGCAGTGCAAAACACTGATTTCATCATGGCACCTGTTGGGGGGGGGGGATACATTAGAGAGCGAAGTGAACCTTTTGCCCTCAAAGTTGATGTTGCAAGCAGGAAAAAATGACAAGTGTAAGGATTGGAGTGAGTTTGGTGCTTGTCAGAGCATCTGCAAAACTGCAGCTATTGTGGGGCGGTCCTGATCTGCAGTGCTCGGTACAGTGGTGAATAAGCGACAGTGTCATGGGCAGCTAAGACTCACTCACGCATGTGAGGAGTAAAGCCTGGCCTGTGTGGTCTGATCCAACAGACGAGTAAGTGCAGCTCAGACGGCTGAAAAAAGTTCATGCTGGTTCTGATGTAAAGGTGTACACAGAGCATCACAGTTTGTTGTGTATGTGGCTGCATAGCAGCAGAGCAGTCAGTGTGTCCATGCTGACCTCGTTGACTGCTGAAAGCACCAACGAAGGGCATCAGAACTGGACCATGGAGGAATGGAAGGTCTGATCTGATGAATTGTGTTTTCTTTTACGTCACGTGGATGGTCAGGTGCATGTGAGGCATTTACCTGGGGAACACCTGGCAAGCCAGCTGAGGCAGTGTGATGCTTCGGATAATATTCTGGTGGGAAACCTTGACCTTGATGTGGATGTTACTTTGACACGTACCACCTACCCAAGCAATATTGCAGACCATGTACACCCTTTCATTGAACAGTATTACCCGCTGGCCTCTTTCAGCAGGATAATACGCCCTGCCACAAAGCAAAAATGCTTCAGAAATAGTTTGAGGAGCACAACAATAAGTTTGAGGTGTTGACTTGGCCTCCAAATTCCCCAGATCTAAAAGCAATCCTGGTGCTACAATACGAGTCCATGCCTCGACGGGTCGGTGCTGTTTTGGCAGCAAAAGGGAGGGAAAATAAAATATGAAGCAGGTGGTTATAATGTTATGCCTGTATTGTATAAATTTATTAATTAATTAATTTGTTAAATAGGACCGGTACAAATGTTCAGTCTATTTCCCCTCCTGTTTCCTGAGCCGGTTGGGTTGGATCACCAACATAGATTTGATGATGAGCTGCAGCGCAAGTTGTAATGAACTGTGAACCACACATAAAAGATTAATTTTCTTCGAGGTTTGTTAATGGTGCGGAAATTTTCGTGTTACGACAATGAAGAGGAAATGAACAGGAAAAACTGTATTCTTTAAAAAAATCAATTAATTATTTTTTTCTCATTTTATTAGAAGATTCGTCATATGTAAAATTGCATTACATATACCTTTATGTTCTATAAAATTTATATCTGTATTCACAATTACATTTCTATATTTTGCTTTCTTTTGTTGGTCGGGACAAAAAAAACAAAACAAAACAAAACATCTACATCCTGTGAAATACAACTTTTAAACACTAAAGTGCAATGGCAAGAAGGTGACTTTCACACATGCAGGAAACAGTCCATCAGCATTCACAGTAGCCCAACAGAGAACATGAAGCTCTATGATGACAGTAAGGAATAGATGGAGGTTGAAGTGCCACCTTTATCCATCTACCCAGACAGCATGCTGGTCATCCTTGCCTTCACCATGAATAATGTGCAACAACCACGAATGTGTGCACGGCTATTACCTAAAACAACTTATTCAATTCAAGCGGAACGAAATGCTTAATGGAGAGGAACCTTTCAAGGCCTCAAGGGGCCAAGATATCAATTTATAATTAGTTGACTTGCTTGTTGTTAATGTTTCTCATGGGATTGTGTGCACTTTCAAGAGTTAAGAACATTAAACAACCTGTTGCTTCTGCTTTTTAATCTAAAGCTTAGAAGAAGAACAGGAATGGCAGGATACGACAAAGACCTTCAGGCCTTCCATGGACTAATCAAAAAAATCTTTTCCTTACCCGATACAGCCTTGAGCAGCTTTATTCATTTGACAAAACAAAGACTAATGTGGAATGTGAAAACAGCTTCCTGCCAAAGATGTGATGACAGCAGAAAAATTATTCTACTGTTTAAAGTGATATTACAAAGCCTCAGGAGGAAATGTTTTGCCAGTTCAGACAAGTTCCATGCTACAGTATTTCTCCTTCTGTCTTTAGTGTACTGTGTAATAGAGCAGGCGTTATATAAAAACACATTAGTTGGCTTTTATCACCTTTCCCTCCTCATCGCTGCTGCAGTGCGTTCACATGGACTTTACAATTCAGCTCACACAGTAGATGCAGTGAGAGGAGAGAAAAAAAGCCCACTGATCCTTCACTGCACTATTCACTCTCCACAAATGCAGACAAACATATGAGGCAGGGAACGAATGCAGATAAAGACGGCACAAGTCATAACAGACGGTCATCTCTGCTGAGTGCAGGCAAGCTGTGTTAAACTGACAATGTGCCAGGACCTGCTCCACAAACACTTTACGCGATCGACAGTTAACGGACAGGCCGCCACTTAATTAGCCAATTAAAATCAGCCAATAGATGATGACCCAGATCTTTCAGACAGACACTGAAATATCTCCAACCCAGCCAAGAGATATTTTGTTATTTTGAGGAAGACACTGTGGAGATTCAGTTGTTACTTCCCAGTGCAAAGGCCAAATTAGCGCCATCAATATCCGACACGTATTTCCACACAGACCTCATTCCTGAACAAAAGCCCAGCTGTAAAGGCTTCCTTTTCCTGCACCCACTGCTCAGGATGGAACATGCACACAATGCAATTAGGCAGGCCTCTAACCATCGCATAAAAGAGTCTGGTTCACCAGACTGAACCGCATGCATGTAGATCCATTAGTCGTCCTTTTTGCAGATGTATTTTGTTATAATTTGAGATTATGGTTAAAAATGAATTGCTATGTTCTACCAATTCCACAAGTGAGCTATAAATGTCCAATCATATGCAAAGACTTAAAGACACAGTGAAATTAAAGAATACACTCAAAGTGTCTTATCAGGTCCTAATTGTTCGGTTACTTATTGGTCCTTTCAAAATAAATAAATAAAATATATACGCATCACATTTCATATGGATTGAACCTTTTTCTCACTCCTTGTCATAGTATTCTCCCCTTTTTGGACGCAGAAAGAATGAAACTACAATAACGCTAACAGTCTCTACAGCTCCTTAGTCCATGAGCATTTCTCAGTGCTCACATCAAATCAGAACCATCTTATAAAATGTGAGAACTCAAATGTCCCTTGAACTGAGTCACATAAACGCATCTTAATCTGCCAGATGCCTGGTACAAAGCTGTGTGATGTGGGATTATAATGATGTGAAAACCGAGCAGCTAACAGGGTGGAGAATTCAGAGGGACGCCATCCGTGTATTCCCAGCCGTGTGGATGCAGCTTGTCCATTTCCTTCTGTGCCATTCATAAGAAAGGACAACATTCTGGTTGAGTTGGAAATTATAGTTGTTTTTACAGATGAACCCAAGACAGTGTTACAAGATTCAGGTCAGAAAGTTGTCCTTCCTCACGCCTCTCAAACTTCAGGCCTAATTATTCTCCTAAGAATACTCCGTCTGGGTGAAGCATTCAGGACACATGCCTCAGCCTTGCTTGACTGGAATTATCTGGGCAATTACCTCCACTAATGTCACGAGTAGACATTACATGGATATTCAGCTGGGAAGCTGGAAACTTAATGACCTTTAGATGTCCATTAGATTTCCCCCCCGTTCACCTCTGTCAGGTGACACCTAAAAAACGTTGAGAGCTGCAGTGCTCGAGTGAAAGCTAAGTTGCTTTAATAGTTTCACTGTGTCTTTAAATAAGCAGAGGAATACAGCGTTTGCATCGTTGGGCAGATGTGCAAAATGAGAATGTTTATAGTCGGACAATAAATGGAGCATGAGGCAGGGCTATAGATATCATTAACAGGCAGACCTAGGAGGGAAAATGAACGCACAGGCTGCAAGAAAAATAAAAGCAATGAGCCACAACAGATGCTAAGCTGAACTGGCACTGGCAGCATCCCCCTTTTCCCAGCACCGACTGGCTAGGACTAAAGTGAGGAAGAGGAGGCAGCACCAAGTATTTTCAGGGACTGCAGCGGCTGACCGTAGTGAGACTCTGGGAGCTCCTGACTAGACACCAGCTCAGTCTTGAAGAGGCGGAAGTGGTAGGGGCAGTGACGCAGGTGGTGGGCCATGGCCCCATCCACAGCCAGAGGGGCAAACCCCAGCAGGGCTGTCTCAGCAGGGAGCCACTCCAGCAGCTGGGTTACGTGAGGCACGTCCGAGGGCTCTGAGGGGATGAGAGGCAGAGCAGGGAGAGAAGAGTAGAACTGGAAAGTGCAGCGGAGCGGGAGCAGAAACGGGAGGAGCTGAAAAGCAGTGCGGCCGGAGGGCATTCGATCGATTGTAGGCTGCAACGGACAAAAACCTCACGGCTCAAACAGAAAAAAAAAAAACAGACTCAGTCCCACCTTTCCATTTCAAAGAAATCAAATGCAAAGCAGATAGCCTGAGGTGAAATAGAGACGTCAGGGGGGGAAACGAATGAATAAAAACACACCTGAGATCTGCTCCACGTAATCTGAATGAGAGGCTTTTTCAGTCAATCAGTGCTCAAACATCAGTGACCCCCAGGGCTATTTTTCAAGAAACTGTATGTGTGGCAACAGAACTGCAATGTGACAAGAGAAGTCTTATTTTAGATTTGTAGCATGAAGGCGTGACTTTCGGACAGATTTCTATCACTAGCTCTGCAAATTGGGCAACTGCCCCAGGGCTCAGAACACTCAGGGGTGGGGTTGGTTCAAAGGTTCGGTGTTCACTGTGTGGCAGGCGGCTAATGGTGACTCATTCCTAACTTGTTTGTATGCACCACTCAATCCCATCATCAGAAAGCAGCATGAGCTTTCAATCTGCAATAAAAGACCAGACATTTGCATATTTACAAATGGAACAGTTAACAGGACACCACAGACCCTCAAACATGTGTCTGTGTGAACCTGATGAATGCAAGTTCATTACTGACCCATTCTTCAGCGTTTTTGCCCGACATCGCTCCTCGGCTGGTTAATCCCACCTGGCTTTCACATCAAAACGACCAAATGAGAACAATTTCACCTCTAGTGCCATTTGAGTGACCAAGCAAATGAGAATATGTGTAAAGCACACGTTACTTTATCTACAATATTTTACCCATCAACATGGTTATGATTCAGAAAAAAACAAAAAAAAACAAACCACAGCTGTGATTGCCCTTTTCTCCGCTTTGCATCATAACAACAGATAATTCATCGTTGATAAAGTGAGGAATGTCCTTAGTTAAATAATAATATATATAACAAACAGCAGCTTGATGAGCAGGTGGCTGTTCAAAACTGAACTTGGACAATTGTAAATAAAATATAAGAATAATATTTATTGAAAGCAAATACCTGTAACAAAGCAGATCACACCAATGTTAGTGGATCTAAGGAAAACTGTCACTTTTTAAATGGATCATCAGCGCCTATTATTATAAATCAAAATGTGACTACAGGAGAGAAGCAAGAGAGCAAACTGGAGGGAAAGGCTCATGACTGTGGCTCCAGCTGTCTTTAAAAAAATAAATAAATAAACACGTTTCAACATATGAGATTTGTGAATTCCACCAACTCTTCAGCCACTCTGAACCAACATGTGAGACCAGCCTGTGGATCAGCTGACATCAATTCTGCTGACATACAGCCAGCACTACTCAAACTGCCAACATGTGATCAGCTGTCTCTGAGCTTTTCATATAAAACCCCAAATACCGTAAAAGGCCCAAATATGGAAACAGTAAAGCAGCAACGTGTACATCAACTACTACACACCGGAGGAGCCAGGGATTGAACCACAGGCCCCCTGATTAACAGATGCTCTTCCTAAAATGGGTTGGTCCAGATTTTATTTAGTATGTGTGTGGTCAGTACACTATGACATCACTGTAAGTATGTGTGTGGTTAAACTGGGGTTAAACTAAAACAAGAGAAACACCTATTTAAAGTTTTATTTGGCATTTATAGCAAAAACCCAGACATTTATCAAATAAATTATTTTAGAATCAACAGTGCATATGCCAGTGAGGATTTTTTAAGTTTTTTTATGTGCATTGATTATCTACCCGTGGAGATATATCTAAGGAACACGATATATTCCACATAGCTAACCATCCTGTGAACAGCAGGATTGGAGATGAAAACACTTGCAGGCAGAGCAGGTGATGTTAGAGGTGAAGGGCTGACAACATAAGTAAAAACCAAAACAAAACCCAAACACCGAAGGTGTGCGCTGGAAGAGAAACAAAAAAAAACTAAAAATCTGAGATGATGTAAGTAATGTAGCCACACGTCACACCTCCCAAAACAGAAAACATAGAAAATGTTTTCCCACAAAACCGTCATGCAAGATAAGAGGAGAACTGGAGGAGTGTCGAAAAAAAAAGGCAGACATACCATTAGTCGGATGCCTGGCATACGACACAGAAAATCTCTTTACTGCCGGCATAGACAACAGCTCTGAGGAGATAAGAAAGGTAACTGGCATTACTGGGGCAGCTGGGATCTGAGTCTGCTTGTGAGTCTGTGTGTTTGAACACAAAGGGGGGAAAAGGAAAAAGAAAAAAAAAAAAAGGAGAAAACCGATTAGCAGAGTTGGCCTGTCGATTCATCAGTGTCTGTCTGCCAACAGATCTGTGTGAAAAGGTGGGTCATCTTTGAATGAACAGAGTGGAGACTGAGTGCTAAGGCTGCTGTGGAGTGGGTGGAGTAAACAACGGACGTAAGAAGTGTGCTGATCTAAATGTCACCGACAGGAACACATCTCCTTTTTCCTCCAGCCTGACTACTACTGGCTGTTGATCACATTCAATATGTTGGTGTAACGTAGTTTTTACTAACGCAGTAACGCTGCAGACTGGGAAAAATAAAACAGAAAAAAAAAACTGAGCTGACAGGTGAAATAAAGCTCTGTAGAGCTTATGCATGTAATATACGGTTTACGAAAGAAGAAAACCCACTTTTATGTCAGGTAAGAATCCATTAGGTCATTTTTGGTATTGCGGAAAGCTGTAAAATAAAGGTTGGGAACCGCCTCTCTGAAATGCACTTACCACTGACACTGCAGGCCATCTTCAGATCTGAAGTGTGCACTTCCTTTCACCTTCCCAGCAATAAACCCATCTCTTGTTGCCCTGTTCTTTTTTTCTTTAAACGAACTGGACTGACGTCAGGTCCAGACCCCGACCTGTCTCTCAGACAGCAGCCCATAGGCCTGATGCAACAGAGCTGAGAAAGTAAAGCATCTGCCAGTGTGTAGCTCTGCAGTCAGAGTGACACCAAGTGGATGAACTGACCGGCTCAGTTTGCTGTGTTTAAAAAGCTGCAGTGGAGGGAAAACAAATCCCTGCAGTTCGGATCCATATGCATAAATACACCTAATAGGAAAATGATGACATCACCTGTAGATGAGTCACATTCATATTCGGGACACACTAAACAAATTTGTGTGATTAACCAGCTGCAACCATGAGAAATCTATCCACTCCAGATGTTTGTGGTAATTAAACCTGTTGCAAGGACCCCTGGTGGCTGTGGAAGCAGCTTTCTTTCACTTACCATTACCGCCATTACCAGACTCAGGGAAAAGGGATTATTTTAAGGTGGATTACTGGGTCTTATATCTGTTCCAAATAACAGGCTGAGTTTCTTAATGTAAGGATTACCGTAAATTGTGATTAATATGAAAAAATAAAAAGCCAGGCTTTTGGCTTACAGACACACTACTTCACTTTACGAAGGATTGTGAAATAAAGAGGATATGTTAACACAACATGCACAGAGAGACAAAACACTTGAGTCCGAGAGGAGAGCGGGTTGATGTGGAAAAGTATTAATTGTATTCCAGCCTGCATGCTCAGCATTTACTACACAGCCAATCCCTCTGCTGTCAAATCAGTGCCCTTGCTGCCCATTCTTCCAGGGCAAAAATCATTAGGAGAAACGATGCAATATATTACAGCTGCTGATTTGTTTTGATCTGAAGGGAAAAAAAAATGTCCCCAAAAATCAATAAGATGAATTTAGGAGCAAAAAACACAAAGTAGGAAGGAAAAAAACAAGACTTTTCAAAGCCAGGAAAAAAAAAAAGCTTTTCAAATGGATACAGATGAAAAGACCAGCTCCATGCGAGAGGACAGAGAGCGTGGTGAACGTACCAAACATGCCACTCTTGCACGGCAAACTGCCGGGGGACAGAGGAGGCTTCGGGTGGTGGTGACGGTGGTGTGTGCGGACGTAGTCCCGAAGGTTGGGGGCGCTACAGGACACCCCGAGGGCTGAGGCACTGAAGAGGCCAGAGCAGAGCGAGCCTGTGTGGAGGAGCCGTGGGAGTGCGGGGGGAAGAGGTGAAGGGATGGGTGAAGTGGACATGTGAAGGGTGAGATTTTTTTTTTATATATATTTTTTAATTACACACTAAATGGTGTGGCCCAAGAGTGTGTTTGTGCTTTGGGAAAAATTAGTTTACCTGTATGAACACCCTGCAAACAGATATTTATTATATAGATTTGATAAAGTTTATAATAGAAGGAAAATACCTAGATGACACGCAAGCTTTAAGGTTTTTCAGAACAGTGACTCAGTGTGTAAGACCCTTGTGTGAGTGATGTGTGCACATGCACAGAACATGTGGGTTTCCTATACGTCACAATAGCATATCAAGCAGGCCGAGAGTGGAAATGAGTTTTAGACTTGCTGTACACGAATAAAACAAACTAATCCTCATATTCGTAGGACAAATTCAATGTCCAAAGACTTTAAATGAATATTTTATTGAAATATTTGAAACACCAACTAAGCGTTGTGTTAACGGAGCGTCAGTGTGCTGATGGAGAACTGTGACCTCAGCAACGCAGCACACAACAAACTGAATGGCTCCACTCAGAGAGGGTTTAAAACATTAGTGTAACGTGGACATAAAGCCAACTGCTGCTTTCAAACGTGATAATTAAGCACCGAGCAGCACGACGATCGGTGCATTATACAGAAAGGGGCACGTTAACCTACTGTAGCGATGTGACATTTAAAACAATAAGGATTTTTAAAGGACCATCACTCATTCCCTGGTGATATCCAGCAGTAAGAAGTGACGCAGGTTGATGTACGCTAGTCTTTGAAAGCTTTCGATCTCTTGTTTTTTTCCACACCACAACTCCACTCTCTGCTCACATTGTTGGTTTTATGGTTTTCTCCACACGTCTTTATTTAGATGGAAGCATGTCATGCTTGTAAGTGTCACCATGTTAGCAGGTTGTTGGATGTTGCATGTCCTTCAAAAGTCCCTTTATTTAGGCTGAGGTTAAACTACATTCATGGACCCAGAGTGGTCTGATTTGGAACACTTTAAAGAGGTCAAAGGGACCTGCACTGATATCTTACTTTATGTATGGGACCAAAAATGTTTTGTTATAAGACTAATAATATTTAGAGTAGATTTTTAAGAATTTGTGAGGGCAGTTTTCTCTAGTTGAAGGAGGAACATGTAACTTATTTATATAGGGACAACTAATGTTAATGAAGACGCTTTTCTTTTAAATCACAGATGTATTCTTTAGCAGGACAACCTGATATCTGGAGTGGTTACAACAGCGCAACATGTCAAATACTTGTAATATTATCATCTGCATTTGTTTCAACTGTGTGAGCTTACAGCAAATTCAGTTTCTGGCAATATAATAACACTTCTTCTGTTCTGACATCTTTTGATGCTAATGTGGCACAATTAAGGCCTTTACACACCGAGCGCATTGTAAAAAACAACAACATGAAATTCAGTTACAAATTTTGGGGATGCCAACTTGGTGAGAAAAGGAAGAAATTGAGATTGTGGATTCATCCATTTCTCACAACAAGGCAACAGCACGGAAAATTTGTATAATTCAATACTGTCTTGAGTTTTGAACTTCGAGCACACATTTGTCAAATGCAGCTAAATGCATTGGTCAGATCTGATTATTCACATGTGAAGATTTGAAGAAGAAGAAAGAAAAAAAAAATCAAACTTCATCCGAAAAAACAAATGCAGCAAACTGGTCTCGTGAATAGTTGAGAATAGGTGTATACTCAAAGGTGACCTGTTACTGTATGCTCAGTTCCAACCTTTTTACCCCACAGCTGCGTTCGGCGGATGGGGTTTTGGCTTAATCCTGCTGGGCAGGCATCGCCGTAGGATTTTGAAATTAATACCACAGCTGTGTCTACCAGGAGGCTGAGGGGTAGAACTGGTGGTCACCGGTATTTTTATTCTTGGCCTCTACTAGAGATGCTTTGTATAATTCACTGTTAAAAATAATAATTTATCTTATACTGGTCTTCGGTCCAGCTCCTCAGTTCATCCACTGTTTTAAACAAAAAAGTTTTGGTTTAGTTTAGTTTTTGGTTTTTTTGCTCCCTTCTCCTTCCCTTTCAGCCAGGCTTCTTCTGATTGGCTGCTATTCACAAACACCTGAACTTTGGATTATCAGCACATATGCTGACCTCATTATTTGGAGCAGGGATTTGAGTTATTGAGTCTCTGAGTCTCCAAGTCACTATATGACAATATTAATAATCTTTACTAATTATATTAGTTTATGTTAGTCAAGTCAATATCAGTTATAGTGACATTAAACAAAGAAAAGGCAAACATTAGTAACTAGAGAGTCGGGTTTTGTTTGACTATGAAGGTATTAGCATGTTCACCGTGTTGTCACCTTATCACCTAGAGAGGAGAGGAACACGTCTTTGATCACCATATGACGCAGTGATCCTGCAGTTGGCTGTGAACATGACTCTTCCCCGCTGACCTCTGGCCAGCATAGTTTGGATTCTGATCCTGTTCGGCTGCCGCTAAGCTAAACTAAGCTGGGGTGGACGCTATGTGAAAGAAACGAGGGACAGACTGAAAGTGAAATGGAAAAGTGGGAGGGTGAAGGGGGTAAAAAAGTCACAGCTGCAGCTCGTGATGAAGAGGAGGCGCAGTGATGACGGCTGGAAATGAATGAGCGGTGAGGCCATGAACGCAGATATGAACACAGCGAAAACACACATTCTCCCACACTTGCTCCAAAAATTAGATCCCTACCTAAGCCACTGGCTGGTTTGATCTCAGGAGACTGGCGTGAGCAGGATATGAAGAGTCGATGGGAGGTGCAGCCTTTGGCGGAATGAGTGGGGGAGGTTTCAGAGAGGACCTGAGTGGGGCCAAAGAGACCAGGGATTAATACTGATATCCTCAACATATTATTCAGGGACCTGATGTTTAATGGTTGCTTCAAGAGCATCATCGCACTTTTAAAATGACAGGCAAAAGTGTCAGAAGAGCTAGTTCACACCCAGACCGCATTTTGTCATTTTAACACTGAACTCTGGCAGTCTGGTACCTCCATGGAGCCAGTCTTGCGGTTCCGAATCATGGGAGACCTTCGCTGAATGTTGATTGGATCAGAGACTTGAAGTGCCTGGTCCGGCTCATCCTGAGAAAGGTCCTCCAGACTGCCCTGATTAGGCTTCTTGTCTTCATTCTAATTGGTCAGAGAAGAAAGAAGTGACTGACATCTCTGATCAACAAAACACACCTGATGTCGACACACAACTACAAGGGAGATTTTTATTTTTTAAAACCTTAAATGGCCTCTTGTCTGGTTTGAAACTGAAATTTTTCACATTTTTAGACAATTTTCAACCAGCAATATGAGTGCGGTATGGTCACACACCTCTGAGGAGGCCGGCCGGAAGCCGAATCCAAGAGGAATAGTCTCTTCATCTTCACATCCTTTTACTCCTGGACTGAAGTGAAGCTCCACATGGAAGCGCTCCTCTGAGGAGGGGTCCTGCTCAGCACACAGACACAAATATACAAAGGAGGCTGCGTAAAGGAGCCTGCAATCCTGCAAAGGAAGCTGCAGTTTGGAGGAGGAGGTATGCGTTTCATTTCATCCTGCCCACCTTGTTGTTGTCTTCGTACAGCATGATGACTATCTGTGTCATATAGTTGAGTTCAGTCACAGCACTCAGGTAGTCCATTGCTTGCTTCCACTGCTGGTCCTTCTCCTCCTGATGTGCAAAGACAAGCAGATGTAAAATTAAAGCCAATGAGTGAAACACCACAGATCTGTGAAAATTCATGCAAGGGCAAGGTAAACATCAGTTCTACAGTCCAATTTAGACATAAGCGTTCTATTAACTTAGAACTACAGTTCAGCTTGGTCTTATCAGAACAAGTCACTGAAGTCATCTTCAAAAAGCCTTCTGTCTTGGAAGGAATACCCTCTGCAATAAGTGCAACGCTACAAAAGCTCTGTTCTGGCAATTCGCCCTCTGAATGTGCACATGCACACCTGCAGGAAATCAAAAAGTCAAAGGTGACACAAAACCACTGCATACATTCAGCAGGCCTCCGTAGCGGAAGATGCTGAGCAGGGAGTGAACGTGGCTCTCACTCGTGAAGTAGAGGCGTGTGCGGACGTGACGCCCAGGAGACATGACACCCCGAGAATACCTGAACACCAGGGCGGAGGAAGAGACACAAGTGAGTAACACAACACCTGTAATACTTGTTAATACATGTATGCATGTGGCTTATAAACATGTTTGTGCGCTTCAGTGGTGTTCTGCATTCTCACAGAGGATGCAACTTGTTGACAGCCTCGTCCTCATGGGTCCTTTGCAGGTCCAGTTGGATTTTCTTCATCAGGGGAACACAATAAGCCTGGGCGATGTCCAATTTCTCTGCTCTGTTGATGCCATACTCCTGATGTCAATGAACAAGAGGGCAATCCATTAAAATACCATGTTTTTGCATGTTATTTGTGACAAGTCACTTTAATTCAGAAGACATGTTAATGAATAGAGGGTTGATTTGAACCTTGCTCTCGCTGGTAAGGTTTTCTGACTAAAGCATGACATTTTAAATGCGCCATTGGAATAATGTTGCTACATCACTCATTACTAATGCCAAATTTGTGCAAAATTTAAAAATAAGTGCTGGGCAGCACTTGGAAAAAATGCAATTAAAGACATTGGTGTGATTTACCTGTGGTATGACTATATCAGCCAGAGCACGGGACAGTCTGAAAAGTTCCCGCGTGTCCTCCAGGTCAAGAGAGGCATTATGCTGAAGGTCATATTTGATGCAGTCGTAGATATCTGGGATCTTGCTGATGTCGTAGCGCCCATTCTTCATGCGGAAGTCTCTCTCCAGCTTAGACCAGCGCTGTAGCATCAACTCCAACGTCTCGCTGTGGTAAAGCTGTAGGTCTGGAGAAAAGAAAAAAAAAAAAATTAAAAATACAGCGACTAATTTTTATCATTGTCGTAAAAAAACCCCTAACTATAAAAGATTTTTAAAAAGGTTCTTGAATATTAATTCTCCAGCTTTCTGAAGGTTTTCACACATTTCTTCTTGGGACATTGACATTCTACAGCCACCTGTACAACAGGGTGGAGGCTCTGTCATGGCTCTGGATTTCAGGCACTGGTGTCAGAGATCTTGTTGAAATCATGAATACAGAAAAAACACCCTCAGATTTTGATTAATGCAAAACCACACTGAAAGCGTTTTATTTGCAACGGCTTCACTTTTCAGCATGAAACCATGGGAATCACACTGCCGATGTAAGAAGGCAGTGTAAGAAGCATAACTGGATAGAAAAAAACAAAAAACAAAAAACAAAAACACACTATTGAGCAGGGCGGGATCATCTTATCAGAGAACAGAACAAAAAGCAGCCAACATCCAAAAAAAGAGCTTTGAATGTCCTTGAAGAAGCCTGGAGAACTATTCCTGAAGACTTCTTAAAGAAATGACAAGAAAGCTGGCTAACCTCATGTTTCAATAAATAACTCCACATGGTTCCAATTTTCCTACCAGAATATAAAGAAATGAGGGGTGGATCAATTTTGAACTCCATATATACACTACAGTTACAAGCTTTTCTGCATCAGTCTTATTCATACATAACACCTGATGACTAAAATAAATACTGAGGGTTTAAAGACAGTAAAACATTTTAAAAGGCAGCCTTTCTGCAGGTTCTCAGTACCTGCAGACTTGGGGTCCTCTAGTCTCTTTCGGATCTGCGATGTAAGGCTCTGGATGAGGGCATACACCTTGTCACAGGTTTTGACTGGATTCTCTATGACCTTCATGGAGTTCACCAGTGACGGACTGCCAGTCGGAGCCAACTGGGACATGATAGAAGCAGAAGTAAATAGATAACATGTTCTGCCAAACACCGCGCATGAGATTATGCCAGAAAAGACGGTCAACATATGTATGAGCAGTTGCAAAATTCTTTGAATAATCCAAATCTTATCTGGATTAAGAGGCGCATTTAACTGTTTAAATTAACTGGAGACTTTACTTGCAAACAAGAAATTGCCTCATACAGCTTATCACTATCTGAGCAATTCCATGTGTGACAACACCTTTTGGTAGTCCTGCTCTGTAAAGTCCTGGTCCTTTTGCATGATCTCGTGCAGCCTGGCTTTCACTTTCTGCTGGCAGTCAGTCAGAGAATCGCTGTCACTGTCCAGCAGTCCGTTCATGTTGGCACTCTTTACCATTTGAACCAGGATGGGCGTGAGCTCCCCTTCTAGAGCCAGAAGACCCTGCAGACATGCATCAGATTTGAAATGGTTAAAAAAAATTACATAAATAAATATGTGAGGGTTAAGTCGTGACGAGTAACCCGAAGCAAACAAGGTAGATGAGTCCATTCTCATCACTACGCTTGTCTTGTCATTCATAACCTTAACTAAATGGTAAATGGCCTGTATTTGTATAGCGCTTTACTAGTCCCTAAGGACTCCAAAGCGCTTTACATATCCAGTCATCCACCCATTCACACACTGGTGATGGCAAGCTACATTGTAGCCACAGCCACCCTGGGGTGCACTGACAGAGGCGAGGCTGCCGGACACTGGCGCCACCGGGCCCTCTGACCACCACCAGTAGGCAACGGGTGAAGTGTCTCGCCCAAGGACACAACGACTGAGACTGTCCGAGCTGGGGCTCGAACCAGCAACCTTCCGATTACAAGGCGAACTCCCAACTCTTGAGCCACGATCACCCCTAACTAATGTTGTTTCTATTTTTGGGATAAATTCTCAACCTGTCTCAAACTCTTCAAACAGACCATTCCTCTGCAGATGATCAGTTAGCCGTTTTACAGCCATCACACTTCTGTGTTTAATATTGAGCAGTGGGAACATAAATTCCACACTGGCCAGGAAAGCAAGCCAAGCGGCTCCAATTTATGGCAAACAAGTGGGTCTTGTTCATGCAAAGCTGCTTTAAATGCTCTCCTCAAGCTCCATCAGAATTGCTTAAGTACTAAAGTAACATTTATATGAAGAGTTTAGTCTTCCAATACAGTGACATAGTTACCTTGGCAAAAGCAGCAGCAGTCATCTGCACCCTTCCTTCGTCAGAGGCGTAGATCTTCAGGTCATGGCGGTAAGTGCTGTGCAGGCGCAGGAGGCCACAGCCAGGAAACCCGGCATAGTCACCTGTAGAATTGAACACAGAGTGGAGCGCCACAGTTAACTGGCATGATTACAGCACTCAGATGTACAGTACAACACATTTTTTCCCTTTCCTTTTCTTTTTTAAAGAAACGACTGAGTCGGTGAGGTAGTTGAAAGAATAGAGAAAAACAAATTTTAGTTTTGATTGTACCCAATAGTAGCAAAGATTTCCATCAAATATTGCACAACGGGCCAGTACAGCACATGTGCGAGTGCAACATCACTTTCAGTTCAAATGCATCGGCTTGTCAGATTTTAATAGGGTTCGTTTCACTTAAATGTGAACTTAAATGTTGTTGTTTAAGCTGAATATAAAATGAAGTGAAAGTGAAGTGAACTGAAGTTTTAGTAGTCTCCCCAAAATTTGTGACAATAACTCCCCTGCAGATGAGATTAAATATCCTAGATTACCTCTCTTTGAAAACAGACCAAGTCTTTTAACATTCCCAGTATGCCATGTTAATGTAGGGGGTGGATGCAAACTAACGCTACAGATCAAATCACACTGATGCTTCATGCATTTCTCTTCTGCAGGTAGCCTGACACTGCATCGCCATGCCTCATTTGACAGAGATCAGCAAATCTGGGACGTGATGAAGACATATCCCTGTTTAAAGCTTAACACAGGCCAAAATAGATTTTTATCAAACAACATCTCAACAACTCGTGAAAAAAAAAATGCAGTAGGATTAGTGTGAGATGATGCGCGTTAGCTTTGAAAAAGAAAAGCTCCAGTCACTTTAGCTGCCCGCATATGTACGGGCAAGTGACCTAAACAGTGTCTACATTGGAGGATCATCTTGGAAACACATCGACACAAAATAAAGCAGTCCACAGCAATCTGATACAAAACAGGACTAGTCGCCATGTGAAATTAACCAAAATCATGATGATATGAGGAGAGAGCAGACCACGTTAGTGGACGGAGCGACAAACGCTCAGAATGACAGAGGAGCGGAAGAGCGGTGATATCCAGGAAACCCTTCTCTTACCAAAGTCAATAGGGGAATCGCAGCCAAGGGACCGGCGATTACCGGCTAGTAGTTTACATAGAGCAACAACAACAGAGAAGAGCAGAGTTAATCGACAAAACTTGTGGTGGAGAGAAAGAAAGGATTGAAAACAGTGGCTGGGATGAGACAATTGTCTTCTTTTTATAGATAAAAAAGAAGCAACACAAGGTCTACTTTTAGTTCTGCTTCAGGTTGGTTTTCTTTATAGTTTGAGTTTTGCATGCAGCACAAAACAAACCTTTAGGTAGGACAGGTGATGACTAAATGGCACTATTGTTAATTGTAAGACCCTACAGGAAATAATGTCAAGAAAAGCCTTTATGCAGCTGACTTCTTACTGCTCAATCTGAACAGAGAGAAATTAAAGCTGCTTTTCTGTTTTAAAACACTTTGAACAAAACCCATTTTGGGTGTTCTCAGATGAGGCCACACCTAACTGCAGGACAACTTGGTACAGCCTCTAGGTGGCAGTGCGAGCAGCATTTTCAGCTTAGGTACTGTTACGGTTTAAAAAAAAATAGAAAAAAAATATTGAATGTCATGAATTTAAATCAGTACTTTAAAAAATGTGTAAGCAGTTCTTCCCCCCCATACTTGAGGCTACACTTCAATCCAGCACAATGGCTACGATGTAAGGTTACAGCAGTCTTACGTGAATTATTTCTTTATTAAAGTTATATCTTTATTGAATTTTATTAGAGTGGGACAAATCAGTATAATTGAATCTACAACACTATAGGAATGAATAGAGCCAAATGAATACCTCTGAGTGTGTCAGTAAGAAGTAGTTATTATTACGAGTGTAATAGTGCATTTCTGTTTAGGTCCTCCGATTCTCATTTTTTGTCCTGATACTGTTAGCCTTCACTAGAGTTGCAGCTCAGCATCTTTGCTTAATCTCAACAACCTTTCACATCAGACTGTTTAAGCCGGTGTTGACAGTATACTCTTAAATCCAGGTCATAATTCCTGCTTATTGTGGTGCAGACCACGTGATCTTCAACAGAGAGAGTTCACTCTGTTATGGAGCAGCAGTTTGTTCAAACAGTTTTAAAGCCTTGAGGTAAAAATGTGACTTAATGTCCTCAGAAGGTGTCTGCAAGACATGAGTGATTGTACTGAAGTGGCAAGATTAGTCTCATTAATTTTTCCACCTGAAACTAAAGATTATTTTACTACCAATTAACTGCAATTTCTTTAAACTTAAAATGCTTGTTCCATTTAAAAGAAATGAATTAATCTTTTTATATATAAACAGTGTAACTAGGTCACCAAAGTCCTTCATCCCTATCATTGTTTTCCTTATCTTCTGTCTCACTGTTACAGCACTGGCTGTTCATACTAAACCTGGCCAAACATTTTCCGGTGTTTGCTCTGTACGATATTGACAACAGTGAAATTTTTAATTTGATTGTCTTTGGGACAGCTTTGACTGTGAGCACAGAAGCCCCCCCCCCCATTGTTTACACCTTTTTCCTTGCAAGTCCAGGCCAATCACGCAAAGTTTACTTAAAGTTTACTGCCATCTGAAACAGTTTGTTTCAGACAGCAGATGAGCTAAGGGGCTGCGCCAAGAAGAAAAATGTGCAGTCCATCATTACTTTAGGCATCAGTAATTTTTATTTACAGATGCTGTGCATGCAACTGCTCAGTTCACTTTTCAGTAAACTTAAGAGATTTGCTACGAGTAGCCTTTCTAATGTTTTTTATTTTTATTGCTACAATCTAAGATGTCCCACACTATAATAATATTGTATATAATTGTTGTTGAGTAACACTTTAAAGTTCCTGCTCTTGGCAACAGTGAGTCAGCAATCTTTCTACAACATCACAGCCACAAATGACAATGAGTGGGATAAAAAGAGTGCAGCGGCAGCTGGAAGCCTGAAAATCTGGCTTGTCAACTCTAACATAGCCGTTTCAGCCTGACCTCTTTTCACACAGTGCATGTATGACTCCTATCATGTGTTGGCACTGCAAACGGTGCCGCTTTTAGAAACTACAAAGGAGGACTGAAAACTGACACCAGAGCAGAAGGCGTGAGAGCCGTTGTAACGACATCTTATAGGCTAGAGCATGTGTCTGGCTGGTACCTTGACCTCCGGGGTACATGCAGCGAAAAGCCCTGCCCAGCTCCTCAGCCTGAACCCGGCCTGCAGGCGTCAGCTCCCCACCCCACTTCAACACCAGCAGCAGAGATGGGCCATCCTTCTTAGAATCTGAAACAAGAAGCAGAAAGTTTAACATTTGATTTTTCTTTATATAAATAATCAAAACTCTTTTTTCTGTAGCCATACTGACAAATAATGTTGTCCGTGGTGAGGTGCAACCAAAACACTGAAGGCGAGGCTCCAAAACACAGTTACTAACTGATGACTGATTACACTGACATTCACTTCCAATCACCATTCGTGTGTATTTGTTTACATATAATTTATCTCTGTGACCCAGCACACACAACAATCGGTGTCCGAGTACGATACCTTCTTCCTCACTGGATGCTTTAGGTTTGCCATTCCGCAGGTAGGTGAGCTGGACTTTCCTGTTGATACCTGAGAAATGACCATACCTGGTGGGGGGGATGAACACACACACCATCAAGCAAACACAACAAAAGTTTCATATGTACGCAGTGAGACAATCGAATAGATTTCATCTCAAATCCACGAGTTTTGTCCAAATGTTTAGCAGCAAACACACGTCTGACTTTCATTCCATGTTTATGACAAGGCGAGCTTAAGAGAGATAAGACCAAGGCAACAACTTTCAATGACACAACGATCATACACGCTGCTACAGTAAGCACTACTATTAGCAGTTGTTTCAGTCACTTTGGAGGTAAATATTTACTGCAGTTCTTTGTAATTGCGTATCTGTGTGTAAGCACATGAGAATGTGAGCAGGAGCAAAAGGACCACCCAGAACAATCAGACAGGTGGGGCTTATTGGATTAAAACGCAGTATTGGAGGATGCAACAAAGTCTATAAATAATAAGGGAGGAAATAAGGGAAAGCAGGTGCAGACGCTTATAGAAATGTGGAAATGTGGTTTGGTCTCATCTGCGTAGCTCCACATGATTTTAAAGTGGCCAGCTCCCTAGCTCTGTGTCTTAATGGAAGCAACATGATCACTGTTTATAGCCTTTTTAGATTGAAAAAGCAGGATAGCTTACACTACTGCATAAGCTCACAGCACGCATATAGATGCCCTTCAGACTTAAGGGCCTTGCTATGCAACGCTTGATCACTGTACATGAGCTGGCTTTCCTCTCTACTTCACTGACAGTTTAATTTTATATTTATTCATCAAAAGTCAAAAACTGCAGTTCCTCTAGTACAGGGTTGTCAAACATAAGGTCTAGAGGCCAGAATCGGCCCATCAAAGGTTCCAGTTTGGCCCAGTGGATGGAAAAAGGAGAGTATAAAATTTGGAGTTTTAACCGCGTTTTTATAACCTCATTACCGGTAGTAAAAAAGCCGTAAAAGACCTCCTCTACGGCCATTCACACGGCGCCAAAGTAAATAAGTAAGTAATTAATAGATAAACAATTAACTGAGAGAACCCCCCCCCCCCACACAAAAAAACCAAAAAAAAAAAACAGGACATTTTCTGTCTATTAACAAAAACAGGACAGTCTGGGCAAATGAGCTAGGAGACATTTAATCCTCCACATTCATTTCTTACAGTCCAAACAGTCCAAGCCCAAAGAGTCCTGATAGATGTCTTTATCCTGTAGAAAAACTAAAACGTATTGTTGAGACTGCACTTCTTGTTCTTATAATTAAATGCCTAACGAATTAAATGTGTAGTTAATCTTCCTTACACCAGCAGAAAAGGGTGCTGGTCTGGCCCACTTACATCAAGGTGTAAAATTAGTTGACATAAAATGCACAGCTTCACAGCCTGCCAGAAAACACTATAGTCCTGGCCTCAGAATCGTCACAACAGATTTCCTAACAACTCTACAGTTGATGAATTTCTTTAAAACAACTTTGTTACTGGAAACATGGGTGTGGCTGCTTTAACTGGCAAATGTGCCGACATGTAAGGCTGTAGTCGACCGTTGTCTACCAAGTCTCAGCTAAACTAATTAGAGACACTGAAATGGACCGCCCTGCCGTCTTAGCGTCGGTGGTGCTTTCTGGAGCGCTTTTAATGGAATCATCTGAAAAATGATAAACCCTGCTGTGTGGTACTGTCTGTCTAAGACTGTGCTCCAGTCTTCTTGAGTGAAAGTCTAGCATTTTATTAGACTGTTACTAAAAACTAATTTGCACATGTGTGCATCTTTGCATTGCACTTGCACAGTTTATGAATGCAGCTTGCCAATCATGCTAGCTAGTGTTATTGGATAACTGAGTACTTCACCCTCTCATCCAAATGTGGTAAACCTCTGGCTTCAAAAAACAAACATAGCGTCAGGCAAAATGTTACCGCTGAGGCTTAAAAATGGTGATGTCCCTGCGTTTAAACAGCCAGTAGTTTGAACGGTGCTTTTCTTGCAAATTTGACCGTCCCTGTCTTTCTAATGATTTTTAATGTGCTCCTGTGCAGAGTACAGCGCCATCAAATTACCAGAATGCAGATCTGAGGCGGGAGGAAGGAAGACATTAGGAGGTTTAGAGTGTAGCTGATAGGTGGTGAGGAAAGCATGCACACGAAGTAGCACCACACACACACACACACACTGATTTACACACACAGAAACACAGTGAAATAATCAGAGACATTTGACTGTGTATGTGTCTGACGTTAATAGCTACAAATGAATGAATTTTAATGGAAATTAAGTCGACAGTTAGTGTACAAAACATTAGAAATATCTTCCAAATGCCTAATCTTAAAATGCAATAACTAATCCATCTTCTGCTTCCTTTATTTTTTAATCAGTGAAATCTGAGGGAAAAAAAGTTTCACAGAGTTTTGGTCTGCCTGAAACATAAAAAGATCTGTAATATTTCTAATATTTTGCACACACAGTCTAGGTTGGCTAAAGAAAAGGAGGCCAGTAAAACCTCATCCTTTACAAGTGAGAAGGGAGAGGGTGCGTACTGATTGTCATTCAAGCTGGATTCCCTTTTGAGAGAACAGATGGGTGAAGAAGGGAAGGATGGGTGGGTGGGAAAGAGGGATAGAGGAGGGAAGAAAAGATAACGCAGTTAAAGACAAGCCAAGAGGGAGGGAGCGTCTTCATGGTGAAGGTGTCTGTTTGTGAGTATGAGAAAGTCTGCTGATGACTGAGATGACAGGAGGGTGATGAGTGATGATATGTGTGTGTGTTTGTTTTCCAGGTGAAATGTCACTCACATTTCCAGAACAGTCTTAAGCTGCTCCAGTTTGGACTTCTTCTCCTCAATCTCACAGTCAGTATGCTGACCCAGTTCGACCAGGAGCAGGCGAGCGATGTCCAGCACTTCCTGGAAGCACAGAGGTTTTTACCTTTAAGCTCGAGTGCTGGTGAAATATTGGAGCTTGAGCTGCACGCAGTGATGGCATGAACGCAGTGTGCAAGACGGGATTTAGACAGCGGAGTGTAAATATTTAGACAACAAGACAATGAAGGTTTGTGGTCCATGATGATGATAACGCTTAATATGTGGGAATGTTTAACAGTACTTTATTATTCTTAAAGGATTCAGTCATAATCAGTCAAAACAAACAAACAAACAAACAAAAGAAAAACAAATATGCAAATAAGAGACAGCCTGGGAAAAAAGAAGCAGGAGATTATTAGGGTTGTCTCTCACCTGCAGCTGCTTTGGTTTTTTGAGTTTTAGCTTTCCTGTTTTATATCCTCCGTACTTTTCAAACAGTTCAAAGAATCTGGTGAAGGATAAGCAGAGGGAAAAAAAAAATCAGAAAATAATTAAAAAACAAAACATTTATGTTAAATGTTTATCCAACAAAAGTTCGCAAAGAGCTGGAGCCCATTCTATTTATACAGTGGACAGGTCACCAGTCCATCATTGGGCCAACAGAGTGACGTGTGCACGCATGCACGCATGCACTCTAGACGGAGCGGCCTGAGGAAACCCATGCAGGCACAAACAGAAAAGCAGACAACCAGGAGGTTTGCAGACAGCAGACACTGCCATCATTGACCCAGAGTTAAAGTTTCTGAGGGGAAGTTCTTGAAATAAAATGCACAGCAACATTCAACAGTGGCTGCCCAATTCAAAGCCGTGAGTGAGCATTAATTCTGTGAGGTAGCTTATAAACTTGTTGTTACCATCTGTTCTCTTCTATATTACTCCTTGAAAGTCTACTCAGAGCAATGCTTCGGGAAGTCATTCAGGCTTATAAAACAAAATGACTGAGTGAGCATCATAAGCTGGTCTCTGCCTATGCAGCCACACACGGAGAAACCTGGAAACTACTCTGACTAATCATCAAACCATATCTATATTAATATCTACTGACGTGTCAAAACTCATTATGGGTACAGGAGGGGGAAGGTCGTCAAATGTCATCCTCTAAATGTGTTAATTTCATTCTGTGGAAAATAAATCTAATTGTTTCCACAGTCCCTTTAATAAATTCTGCTTCTTGTAAATCCTGTAAATAGATGTTTCTATACTATAATTTACTCATGACAGTGAGCTGTATCTGTTATCTCTTAACAACACAAGGTTTACTTTTTTCATGTTAAATTATGTATATATGGACACGCTCATGAGTAAATTATGGGATGGGGAATATATCCAGTACACAAATGTTTTCCTTTGTCTTGTTTATTTTTCCCTCATATACAGAACTTTATTATAAATTTTTGTACTTTAAAAAAACAAAACTAAGCATTGAGTTGTATGAACAGGGAAGAAGGAAGACAACTCAAGGCTTAGTCTGAGCGACTCACAGAGGATGGCGGACTTCCATTTTCATCTTTTGCTTTGGGGTGCGGTCTCCGTGTCGGATAATGGCGATAACACAGCGCAGCTCCATCCTGAAGAAATACAAAAATGAGGCAAAACACACCAGAGAGTTCAAACAGACGCTAAACTGAGTTTGGGATCTCAGTGGACCCAAGCAACCATCTGTTAATGTGTTGTGTCATTTTCCCATAACTACTTTTTTTCCCTTAAGAATTATTCTGGGAATCCTTTGAGGATTTTGCATAATCCCATCTGGGAATAATTTTAAGTGAAGGCTAAAACGAGAAATGAAAAATGGAACTTATTATCCCGTGTAGTACTAAGCAACAAAACATTTTTAATTAAATAAAATAAAAAACGAATTTATGTTTTCATTATTTTTGCACTTAAAAATATTTTTAAGTGCAAAAATATTTTAACATGTCCCTTAATTAAAAAAAAAAATCATTTAAGGAATTTATAAGACAGACGTGTAGTACACACAGTGGCCCGCTCAACAACATCTTTCCTCAGAATTAGTTAATCTTTTGTTTTTCTCTACATACATGGTTCCTGAGGTTGTTGGGACGATGGGGATGTCTTCAGCCTCCATGGGGATGGACCAGGGGATGTGGAGCTGGGGGGCTAACTCCCTCATTACCATATTCCTGGAGATGTCGAGAAAAGCAGAAAAACAAACAAAATGACTAAATGCGAAGCAAAGCTCATTCCATCAGCTCTTCCTTGTGCTAATCAATCCACGGCTGTTTGAAATTGAGCATGTCCATCTAAGTCACAGTCCAGTGTTTAACACAGTATAGCAGCGACACCTACCCCAGGACTTTGGCACAGTCGTCGTAGTATTTCATGGAGTTTTTGACAAAGCTGAAGCCGTTAACGTCACAGACAAACGAATGGCCATTGGCTCTGAGCAGGTCGAACCCACACACTGTTTGCTATAATCACACAAGCAAAAGCATTAAAGACGGTTCACAGGGCATGAGAATGTAGTTAGCCGCTGAGCAGAAAACACATTCAAACAACTAAACAGGTGAAGTAGGATTTTAATTTTAATTAATTTGGTGACATTGGACATAAAGAATGTGCGTATGTGTTGTTTTCCACTGGATAGAAAATAGAGCAACTGAGAAGCCGTTTTAAGATTTCATTACGGGAACAAAATGCTACATTTCTCCAAATAACATAAAATTTCTTAGCAGTAATACATTTTTTGTTGCCTTCTGCTGCAGTCATGTGTTTTACTTTGTTCAGAGTGAAGGAGTTTCTTCTATTTATGAGTCGTATAAGGTGAATTGTAGGTGTTAGAAGAGTAAGCAGCAGAAAGCAGCTGGTTACTACACTGTGTACTCAAAAAGTGATTTTAGTTCCTTTCATTTATTTAAAAAAAATCTAAGTAGTTTCACCTTTCACTCATCGTTTTCCCCACATCTGGAGACTCTACAAGGGTTACATAAACAGGTGTACAGTCTTTGACCACTCGAGGCACAGGAAGCAGTAAAAATAACAGAAAGGGACCACGAGACCACGGCGGTTACACGGCTCACAGTGAACACTCACTACATTCACACATGGTGTGCTTGTGCGAGTCTTTTACCTTGAATGCCAGGCAGACCTTGCGGGCCACCAGTTTCTCCATGGCGGTCAGCATGACTGGGTAGCGGATCTCCTTCCCCTCGCTGTCCCTCTCTACCTTCCCATCCAGTGCTGGAGACTTCCTGGCCTCAGCGTGAGCATAGTCCGGGCCCACTGTATAAACCTAAGAAACAGCACAGAGCCAACGACTCAGAAGACGTCTCAGAGCAGATGAAATATTTCATTTGTCTATTCTTGACCAATATGGTAGCTCCCACCACATCAGTTCAACAATGTATAAACCTCAAATAACTATGAACGGTACCTTTACATCAGTGCCATCTGTCGGCATGAACTCCTCGTAGATATAAGAGCCAGTCTTTCGTACACTGCTTTCTGGGGAGTACACACTACTACGGCTCCCTATCTGCAGCAAAGAGAGAGAAAAACACAGAAGAAGAAACCCCCCCCCCAAAATAAACATATAGCCACATTTAATGTTCAGCATGTTAAGCTAATTGTCATAATAAAAACATGGTATTTTTTCAGCTTCAGTGATAAACGGGTACCTTTCTGAAGAGTCTTTGGCTTCCTCCTCCGGCAGATGTTGGGTAATAGATGTAGACGTTGTGGTCCTCTGCGCACACTGGTTTCTCCACAAAGGGTTTGTGGAACACCTCCCCATTCACCTCAACTTGGTCCTCCCCCTCCACCAGGTTACACTCTGCACAGGGCAAGACTAAAGCTTTTAAATTCAGGTTGCCAGGAAATAGTTAAAACATACAGAAAAATCTACAGCATTGATGTTTACATATGGAATGAAATTAGTTTTGCTTAAAGATGGCAGTTAATTAGATTACTGATGTTTTCTATGTGATATTCGGTAGCAGAAATCACCACATTTAAGATTTACCATGTTATCTTGTGTTCATTCTGTTGAAATGAAAATACTTCTTTAACACAAAGTAAAAGCCCACCTTCAGGATTGTCAGGGTCTCGGTTCAGCACAGCGTAACGAGGCAGGTCGATGCCCTCCTCCTGCAGGATCCGATACACTTCCCTCCTGACATGGAACGATTGGAGTTAGTGAGCCTCCGAGAACAAACGTCACAGTTTATTTAATGTGGCCATGAGCAGTGTATGTATGCAAGAGCCGGGCAAGTCGGAGGGAACATGCAATACATGTGAAAATAGCAATGTTGTTCACATGACACAACCTCTCGCTGCTCTGATTATCCAGGAAAAAACAAAAACAAAGATGCAAACAAATCAGATTCATGAAAGAATTTCACATTTAGAATTTCCCTTTGGCAAGCAAAAGCCGGTGTTAGAGGTGTGGGGGTTTGCATGAGGACCGTGGCAGAGAGCAATGCAAATGTTTGAAAATGATTCCCATCTCTCCTGCAAGCCGCTCCAATGAATGAGCTCACCCTTCAGCTTCACTGACATCAAAACTCTTCCAAGCAAAACAGTGAGTTTGTTTTTTTAAATACATTCTGGAAAATTCAACAGCATCTGATAAATGTACTTTAAGAGTTAAACTGATATTTTAGGAGGACCCTTTAGGCACAGCTGCCACCATCTCACTGGCGGCCACACAGTTGAGGCCTAATTTTAAAACTAGCTAGTTACGTTTTTACATTGTGATAACCTTCAGCTGTGCGTGTGTGCTCACACGTACCTATCCTGAATGAAATACTGCATGTTGAGATCATTGATGAGCAGTGGATTCCTGAGTTTGGCATATTCCACTGCTTTGTCCAGAGGGAAACCTAAAAAGTAAAACATATCTTCGTCAGTACAAGCTGGACCAGCATTTAAAAATAATACAGTAATCGAGATTTTTTTATGCTTTGAAAACTCTGGATATACAACAGTGTATGAGTCCTCAAATAAGAGATCAACAAAACTGAACATCTCCTAGATGCAAATGTTGGAAATGTTTTTACTTCAATTCCAAAATGAGCATTTTTAATCAGGAAGTGTTTAAAAGCATTTACAGTTCGTTGAAGTTTTAAACAGTCATCACTGAAACCCTCTGACACCCAGGAGCAAAATTATGTCCTTTAATGGCCTCAGTACTTAAAAATATATAAAGATGTTTTTGCTTTCTGTGTTATGAAGTTGGTATAATTTAGCAGGGCCATGTTCAACCTGCTTTTTGAAGATGTGATCAACATGTGAGGGGATGAAATTCTTCAAAAATCTGGAAGAGCAGAAATGACTTTGGGCAATACATGTGAGGTGGTCAAAATAAATGGGTTAACAAACAGGTATTTACAGTCTGCAGTGGAGACACATCTGCAGAAATAATAACACGGGCCTCATAATGCATTCTCATTTGCTCATTAAGGATATCTGCACTCATTTAGATCAAGCAGAGCATTTGATCTAAATGAGTGCGAGTCTGATGCTAAGTCTTAGCATAGATGCTAAGTCTGAAAACTTGGGGAAAAATGCCGCTGTCACATTACATGTGTGACAGAAAATAATGAGAAGTATACAGGATCTACTTTACTGTTTCTCACAAGTCAAACTCTGTCAGAATGGTGAGAAAGTCCTTTTAATTATTACTGTTGCACTATTTTACTGTACTTGCTATATGATCTCTTCACAAAGGACAGTTTTTTTCCTGTGTTTACTAATGAACTGATCTGTGGTGAGAAGCATCTCATCTTGTTTAGGTACAAAAAAAAAAAAAAAAGAAGAAGAAGAAAACATGAATCACAAAAAGTAAAGAAATAAAAATAGCATTTCAAATCTAACTTAAACCAGGTAAGGTTTCAACCCTAATATCCCCCAGTCATGTCTCCCTCCCACCTTCGCATTTCCTTCGCATTTCTCCTCATGCAACAGATGCTTCGGTTTGCAATTTTTACCTTTGGAGTGGAAGGAGATGAGGCAATCACAGAGGGGCCATTTCTCCACAGGCTCCTCCAGGATGACCTCCTCAGGAAAGATGACCACATCAATGTAGTCAAACTTACAAAGGCGCTCCAAGATCTGAGTCATGGGCTTGGATTTGGATTTCTTTGTCATCGCGCATATGCCGACCACAATCTGTCGCTCTGAGGGCTGGTGGAGCAAGGAAGAGGGCAGAGAAGGTTAAGCTAGAGAAGACAAGAGTCAGTTAACCCTGACAACATGTCTGAGTGGCCGGGCAGTGTAAAGATGGGCTTTATTACTTTCACAGTTGGGCAATTCACATTATCACAGCAGCAAAGTGGGCAGAGTAGGAATAAACAGCTGCAGTTTAAGGTAATACCCACAATAATACTATCAAAAAAGGAAAATGTGCACTATACAAGTATGTATAGTGAAGCCATGTAGTGGGCAGCATTAACTGAACTATCACTAACTTTCAGTTCACAGCGCAGCTGAAAATTTAAGTTAAGCTAAAGCTTTTTATGTCTCATTAGCTTGCTAATCATTGAGCCATCTGCACTGTTGTGTAGAGTTCAACCTAATTATTTAAATATTGAGATATTTGTTAGGGTACACATTTATTTATTTTTTATTTTAATTATGGTTATTATTTATTTTACTAAACATCCAAATGACATCTCTCTCCTTCAAAGCAGTAACTGTTAAAAATCAGGTGAGCTGAAGCTTTAGTAATTCTAATTCTCTAATTCTTTACAATAAAGAATTATTATCTAAGCTATAGACAGTACTGATTTATGACATCTTCCTCTCCAACTGGAAGCACAGTGCAAGCTCTCTTTCTTCTGTGTTCACTTGATGAGTGAGCAGTGAGGGTTCAGAGTGACCGACAGAGAAATAAGACACCTTCAGTTGCTTCTAAAGTTCCCTCTGACTGTTTATTACATTTAAATTTAGATTTTGTGGGGGGCAAAGAGTAGATTATGTTGTTAATTAGTAATGCGGCTAAGAAACCCTGAAAATGATATTTGAAAAGTGCAAAAAACACAAACTGAAGCTGTTCAAAGTCCAGCTCAGAGCACTGCTACAAGTGTGATAATAAAGAGGACCACTGCAGAGGGGACAGAGCGGTGTTTAAGTTGCAGCACACTCTGTCCTCGAGCCAAACTTTGGATTACTTTTCCTCATCTGATAAGGATCCTAAAATAGGAGTTTCATCAACACCCCGTCTTGTGGGTAATGAGCGCTACAGTCCCACAGGGCGAGAAGAACAACCGTGGATGACCATTAGAACATTAAGTCAGTAATTACCCTTTCTGAAACCTGAAAAATATGATGGTTCTTGCAGCTTTGCAAATGCATTAAACATCACACGAAAAGAAACAAAAGCTTTACTGATAAGGACACTTGATTACATTTATGGTGAATATATTGGATACAAGATTACTACACAATATAGTGTCAGCCACAATCCTATTAACCAAGCTAACGTTGTGAATCTCAAAGACGGAGACAAAGGTTACGGCTCCTAATGAAGCAGTACTTTATAGTCCATTTATAGCAACAGGACACTAAGGCCCAGAAGCCTTACCACTGTTTATCTGCTACACTGTTCTCATGCCATTCTTTGAGTATTTTTGTTTCCATTTCTTTTTCCATTATCCAATTCCAAACATAACTTTTATAAGTTTCCAGCTCTGTCACTTCCTCATACCTAAAAATGTCCAACACTGCAGCTTCCTGTTCTGTAATAAAATGAGATCTTCTTTGCGCACTGTAAAAGTGTATTGTAACTATATTAATATTGTACACCTGCTACTTACCGACTCATCATCATCGTCCATTTCCTCTTCTCGAAACATCTCGTTCTTCATGCCTGCGTCCATTTGGCCCATGTCACGTTGATAATTTTCATAGCCAACCACAAACTGAGGAATGTCTCTGCAGCTCCAACCCTGTTTTTTTCTTGCTGCTCCTACGCAGGGCTCCAACATCACACACTCCAATGTGACATGGCTCCTTCAGGTTGCTCCTGCCGTCGAAGGGGGTAGGCTGTGATCAAGGTGGCTACTAAGCAAGAACAAAACCAGTCAACTGTGATAGACCGTGACTGGGTGACTAAAACTTGAAGGCCTGGTCATAAACGAAAGTCTGTTGGCTGATAACAAGTTTGATAAAGTATGTGCTGAGGTAGGAAAGAAAGAAGAAAACAGGAAAAAAAACAAAAAAAAACAACAGCAGCTGTCCTAAGAGGTAGAAAAGATGGCGTGGACTCCACGTGGACTGAGGTAGAGAGTCATGTCCCAGCGTAGAAGCGTCTTCTTGACACAGGAAACCTCACAGCCAACATCTGCATACCATTGTTCTTGCCCTGGGAACAAACAGTACACAAATACTTTAAAAAGCATGCCTAATGAAGCAGTATTTGGTAGTAGCAGAAGCACTCAGTAGCTAAAAAAGACAGAACTGTATGTGAAACACAACATTACGAGTTTGCACAGTGTCGTTACATCTACCAGTTGAGAATGAAATGGAGGGCTATAAAAACAATGATGAAACTGGGTTATTGCAATTTTAAAGGCCATTCTACCTATAAGATAACTGCAGTTTATTTATATGCAATCATTTATTGAACCACAGTCAAATAACATTTACATATTTGTTATTGTTATATTTTTGTATCGAGAGATATTCACAATGCATGTAGTAATAATGACCAGGTACCAAAATAGAAATACAGGATTAGGAGAAGTCCAATTATGTCCCTATAGAACATTTACCATTAAAACACATAACATATGACACATAACATATTACACTTTGTCATTATTTATTGCACAAAAACTAAGAAAAAAAACAACTAAGTACACCCATGACACAGTAGTTTGCAGATTGCCTTTGAACAGTAACTTAAAGTAATCATTTTCTATGACTTCAGTCTCTCACATCGTTGTTGAGAATTTTGGCCTTGAATCTTTATAACTTTGCTTCAATTAATTTTGGTTCGCTGGCATTCATTTAAGCACATCTCTCTTAAAGGCATTTCAATCAAAACTACACTGGACTATTGCAACACCTTGACTTTTTCCCCCTTATTTTCAGTCATTATGTTGTAGATTTGCAGCTATGCTTGGGATCATTGTGCTGTTGTATTTTCATGGTTCCTGTGGCAGCAAAACACGACCAAATCATGACTTCTCCGCCACCATGCTTGACAGTTGAAATGAGGTGGTTCTGATGATATCCTCTGTTTGGTTTTCTCCACTATGGATGTTACTGGATCACTCCTACAATATGGTGTCATTTCAAGATAGTAGATAGAATCATGAAAATCTTGACTTTTCTATCATTTAACTAAAAATAGGGGTTGTTAAACTATTAGAAAAACACACTGTTCAAGTCAGGATATTATGCTATAACAACTGTCCAAATTCTCCACATGTGATGTACGTCAAATCTTCCCCCTGTTACGAGACAATCTTACCTCTATTACTAAGGGGTTTGAATGTACAGTCGCTTTCATACTGTATTTATGTTTTCTAACAGCTGAAACGAATTTTAAGAGTGTGTTAATAGATAAGTATTATCAAAGAACATGAATGATCTGTTTAGAACTACAACCTAGCTTTAATCTAAAATATGTGAATTGAAAAGAAATTTTAATGCAGTTTGATCTATTTTGTTTCATGGCTAGGGCTTAGCAAAAACAAACAAAAGTTGTACAATCTCATACTACATCATTATATGAAATGCTTAATTCACCCTGTTTAATGAAATTATAATCATTTAAAATGTTTAAGAGTTTCTAACATTATTTAAATAAAAATACCTGGACACCTGCATTCACTTTTGGTTTTGATAACAAGACCATACACATAACATTTAAATACAATAAAGATTTCATGACAAGTTAATATGTTCTTAGCTGCACCTGGCATAGAAAGGAATACTAGTCCACCTTTTTGAAGTTATTCATACTCAAATTTCAGAGAGAGCTAAAACTCAAACGGCTATAAAGCTTGCTTATTTTAATTCTTTCAACAGCACAAGATAAAAAAATTGAAAATAAATATCATTCCGACGTACTTCCTTTCAAATTTACTATCATATCGTGTAAACACAACTTGTAATAGTTTTAACAGTCTTCCTCACATGGGCAGTCTCACTGCCTGACATGTTTGTGGTTTAGATACCAAAATATGACAGAATTTATATTACATGATTGCACGGAAAAATATTCAAACTAAAAAGGTTTTATAGGGTAAACCTCTACAAGTCATGCTTAAAATAAATTAAAAACACTCAAACATTATGCATATCACATCAATGACCAACCTGCCCAGTAGTGTGTGCACGTTACCATTTTAGTATGCAAAGCACTAACAGGGTAGATGTTGCTCTCAAGTCAGCTATGATTACTCATGTGATGCAGAACCACACATGCAAATGCACACACAGAAGACAAAAGAATTTGCAACATGTTTATCATCCATATGATCAAGATTACAAAAACAATATCAGTTTGAACTGTAAATAAGGGTCACAGGGTGGGGATGTTATGCTTTAACACATCAGTGAACCATTTTGAAAGAACAAAAGAGTGACACTTCCTGTGGTCCTTGTGAATGCAAGGGATTGCAACAGTGATAATTGTTACCGACCTACTTGGTAACTGACTTTAAACAAAGGTAACTGGGGGTGTGGGATTTTGGTTAAATCATTTCTGACACATAATTGCATTTTATGGTAGATGTGGGTTACAAGTATAAGGCAAGCTTTCAGAAATAAGTAATGATCAGTTTTTCACTTCTGTCACAGGGATTCAAATGGCACTGGATAATAGGAATGACCCCCCACAAGTCTTATGGTTTGTTCAGCTGTAACTTTGCAAAGCTAAGCTGTGCTGCCATGTTCCTGCTCAGTCTTTTTCTAATTGTACTGTCATGAACTTTAACATTTAACATGGTAACTGTGGCCTGTAGAGTCTGAGCTGTTGCTCTTGTTTTGTTTTGTTCAGTTTTTCTGACATCGGGTGAATTTGCTTGGAGGTCCACTCTTTGTGTCTTGAATGATTCTCACTTCTGATATTTTTCTACCTTATCGTTTGTTAACACATTTGAATGCTGCTAACTGCCAAAATGGTGAAAACACTTACTGATGATAATCAAGTGAATTTGATTAGCAGCAACTGGCTACTACTCACCCAAATATTTATGTGCTTACCCTAGTTGTTGGTTTTTTTCCCCACTCATTGCTTTTGCATTTTAACTAGTTTGTTAAATTAATAAATGGCACAGTATGACATCTTGTGTTGCAGTTTATCTTAAGTTGTATTTTAAGAACTAAGGAAAAGATCCTTTTTACGCCCTGATACATAAAACCTCCCAAATGGAAGCGGAGGTATTTAAAAAAAACTGTAATTATTTTTAATATATACAAATATGAGTTCTGTATGAATCATCTAAAAAGCCAAATAAATAGTAGCTTTTTTGTAGATAGTATGAAAGGGGGAAAAAAAAAACTACCATCATACAGGAAGCATGAAATGCTTTTCTTGCTTCATTTTGTGTTTTGACGATGGTGATGGAGTGAGTTGGCCATTATATCAGGCCAACACCCCACCCCCCACCCCCTCTGCCGGAAGGTGGGGCTGAGTTGATCTCTGGTGACCCTGAAAGACTAGTTGCTGTACTATTTTCTAATTTTGTCTATGTAAATGTGTATGTGTATATAGTGTCCTGTGTTCTGATAACAAAATTTATATCTCTTGGCAGCTTGTGTATGTGAATACTGTAACATAAGTTTCAGAAGAATCCTCCCATGCCAGCATAATGCTGACCAGAGCCATTGGATTCCTACATTGTAGGGAGTCAAGGGTTCAGGTTTTTCCTTTAATTTGTCAGTCATTGTGCATTGCTATTTTTTAAATCCTATTTAAGTCTATTCATGTTCATTCCTCGATGTTTGACATTGCACTTATACATATAATCTGTGGGAGACAAATCCTTTCAGCGTTGTGTCAGCAAGGGAATTTGGCATTTTAAAAAAAACAACCCTGCCAAATCAAACATAAGGAATTAAGTGCTGAGGAATCCCCTTGTCATTACAGAGCAAGCAAAAGAAGCTTATACTAATAATGTGCTGTGAGAAAAACAGAGCAGCCATCAAACAGACGTGTGAGAAAACAGAGTTTTGTGCCAGACTGATGCATCAGTGAAATCTGTCCCAGCTTTATCCTCACTGCAAACTCTCATTAGACACTCGAGGAGGAGCTTAAGCCTCCAATTGAATTTAAACATTTAATTGATAGAAAAAAAATCTTTAAAAGATCCTGTCATTTTCATAAATATGAGCCCATGCTGTAGCTTAGGTTTTTTTTTAGTTGAATATCTGTTTTCTAAAGAGCCAGTCTGGCAAACTTGTTGTTTCCATAACGACAAGGCCCAAGCAGAAGCCAGGCCTTCCCTCTATCGAGTCACATGTACATTTAACTGTGGCCTTGACTCTAGCTAGCATTTACATTCTTAAGATAGAAAATACAAACAGCTCGATACCTATCATATAAATGCATACAAAGACTGTTTATGATGTCCGTGTATGGACATGCAACCTGCGTGAAGCTAAATCTCAAGCTTCAGACTGCTGTAAATGGTTTAAGGCAGTTTTATTGCCTAGTCTTGGGTCTACATGATGCAACTGAGTGAGAAGATCCCCAGTATGATCGTGTCAGACACAGTTCTGTTTCACGCTATGCAACATTTCTCCTATTTACGGTAAATGTTTTTTTAATCTGTGCAACCATTTCTTTCGCCTTTGCAGCACTCACTGACTGCACACAGGAAACAGGAGACAAGTCACGTGCTTTATAACTCATCCCACGTGACACTACTCAACCTCTCAAATCCTTTACTCAGAGAGCGTGTGAAAACAGAGACTGCATAAAGGCACGAGATGCAGAAGTCTGTAAAAGTAAGTCAGGGGAAGGATAGAGAGAAAAGAGAGTCTAAAGCTGAGATAGTTTACATGTGAAATGAGAAAATAAGATTTTATTAATATTTTGTTTTTAGAGTAGCCTTCAGCTTATTGTAGAAGTTTATAATTGAATTGTACTTTGTTTACCGACACTTCCACAACTGCCGGGCTATTTCTGAATACCTCGCACTGAATGATACTGCATGTGGAACTTTATATTCTGGAAATTCTTAAGTTTTGATACAGATTTGACCCAGAATTTGTTAAGTTTTAGTTGATTACCTCTGTTCTATGTGTTACCATATGTAGTACCATGAACAAGTCTAAATTAAAGTGTAGATCTTCTACTTTTCCAAGTATTTTCATCAATGCATTCATTGTTTTAGGTGTCCATAGATC